CAACCGGGAGCTGGTCATTATGTGGGTTTGCGATAAACCCCTGAATGTATCAATAACTGTGTATATATGAAAATCATATATGGGAACAAATAATGTTACTGATATCAACCTTTAGACTGTTAACCATTGTTTACATTAAATAACTTTGTATCACTTGAATAATCCCAAGAAGAGCAATGCATTTCAAGAAGCATATACTAGTCAGTACTCAAAGCTCAAGAATTTACAGAATAGACACTTGCGACTGGAAATCAGAAACTTGTCATCAAAAAAGAATTTATGTTGGCAGTGGTCAACAATCATTTTGGAAGGTTGGCATACAATCTCAAGGTTACCCTTAGAAATCATGCACTGCAGACATGATTACCTGTGACCTTGAGTGTCCTTGACACATAATTATTGTATAATCTGCAGCTAGATGTGTCCCAGGGTCTGATTTTAAAAATTCTTTGTATGCTTTCAGCCAATCAGAAAAGAGATAGTGAGTTGAATGTATAAGAATTAACATTAAACCCAAACATCAAATCAAGTACAAAGCAAATACATAAATGTCCAGTGCTAAAGGATTTTACTCCAAATGTACCATCAATTAAGACAGAAACCAAAAATTTTTTTTCTGTGGAATAAAGGCAGAATGACAAATTTATTGAATTTGTAATGACTATCAGGTGTAGTTACCTTGTAAGTGTTTGAATATTCTGTTAATTTTCCTGAAAGATTGTAATTGGGACCATCTGGTTCAAGGTTTCCATCTTGTCCACCACTGTCCTCAGCAGGTCTTTGATGCCTTTGAATTTGAATACATTAAGAGAATTCTTTAAATTGGCGACCAAGAAATAGGTAAAACAAGTTTTAAACACAATTGTCTATAAATTAGGATGTATTATTCTTCTATTTATTACTGACAGAAATCCCTAAGTTTGATCAAGTAATTTTTTTATGCCTTATGAGAAAGAAATGTTCAGTATTTAATCCAGAAAACCAAGCATAACCATACAAGAAAAATCAGTCATCTACCAAATGAACATCTTTGGAAGAAAAAAAGAGGCCTAACAAAATATTGGAACTAACAGCCTAGGATTATTTACTGAGTGTGCAAAAGCATTACAAGCTACATGTAATTTTACAACTCTGAAACCCTTTACATATCAAAATTTAACATTATAATTGTATACATATACCGTGCTGAGAGAGAGTAGGAGTAATTTACTACATGAATGAGAAAATGTGACAGAGCTCAAAAGCCAAAAGAGTTAGATGAGCAAATCAATTACAAAAGCATGAATACTGAGAAATATTACCACATGGAAAGGAAATGTGAGGCAATCAAATACTTGACACTCTTGAACAAAGATGTATTTGTATGTGTAATAATAATAATTTAATGGACTTGATGACTCTTTAAGAATACATTGGAATGTCTTTATAGGTGGTTCTTTATTTTAGAGATACAAACCAAACCCCTCCTTCTCCCCTCCCACTATATCAGAATTGGGGGGACATGGGTTACCTCATAACCAGTTATGGTGCAAGTTATTATAGTATTAAACATTCATACATTCTGAAAATGATGCTTACTCTGTTGGTGAATGTTGCCTTTCCTGCCTTCTGTTGTGGTATCTTCTCTCTGGATGAGAGGCTGAAAAGATAAACAAATTATCAGTCAGAAAATAATGCAAAATTTATCATCAATAAATTGTAACATTTTATATTAAAAGACAATTTGAAATTAAAACTAAATAGTTTAGAGGGTAGGAATTACATTGAACACAAAGTTTTTGAGGTAGTGATATTGTTTTGAGGAGTCTAAGTGTTTCCTTCCTTTGGTAGTTTTCATAATAAGTGACAAAATTCAGTTGCACAAGGTGTGTGGCAGGTGTGTACCCAGACAATCACATGTTCCTTAGAAATTGTACCCTTCACATACTCAGTCATTAAAGATGTTCCTCTTAAAAAGCATTGAAAAAAGTGAAAAATAAAATTATCCAATTTTAAATATGGTTTAATAATTTGAGCCATTCAATTGAAAGGCAATGTAATGGATGAAACATTAGAAAAAAAAAGGTTTCTATCCACCAACCTTCAGGAGCTCTTTCATTGTGATACTTATCTTTGTCCCATTCTCTTCTACTGGCAGATCTACTCTGATTAAAATGAAAAGCATGACAATAACTAAATAACAACCCATAGTCCATGGTAATTTGCCAAGAGCAACCAGTTTTTCCAGCTAAGATAAAAAAAGGAAAGGTAGCTGTGTCTAGAACATAAAAATGTCATGTAGTTCTAAGAAGACTGCAACAAGTGAAAAAGGTTCTAGGAGACTAGTGAAAAGAAAATTATTTTAGGTTATGTTGTATTAATTGCATCTTGTGCAAATAGAATATGAGTGATGGTAAAAATGTTTTTTGAGCCTAGGAAAGAAATAGAAACAGATGTTTTTTCCCCTCTTATTGCAAGCCTAGGACAAAGAAAAAATTCTGCATCTCCATGAGAAATTAAACCCCACACCTTTGCATTTTGATGAGCTACTGCTTGGCCAAAGACACTCTATGATGAACTAGGCAGTAATTGGGTTCAAAATCATGACAAATATCCTGTATACAGCTAGGATTAGCAATGTTGAAAGTATTGTGCATATAAAAAGAAATCGCATCTTGTAACTCTATAAACAGGGATGAAATAAAAAACTTTCATTTACTGCTCAACAAGTTCATTTATTATCAAATGCTCTGCTAAACTTACTACATGACTTGTGTCTTGATGATGACTCCTCCTTCCACCATCCACTCTGTTATTTCTTGGTTCTAAATGCTTGCTTAAATAAGAAGATATTACTCAAAGTTCAACTGTTTGGAAGACAAAGTGCTTTGGAAGACAAAAATTCAGAGGAACAGGTGTAACAGCACATGAAAAAGCTGTGACTAAGATTAATGACACTGTTCTATCACTAGCCACATGTACAAGATGTATAAACTTCTCAAACTAAGGAGCAAAGTGGGAAATTAACAATGAAAAAAACTATAAATTAGACAATATATTTCTTTGAGCAGACATCGACATTAATTTGCTGTAAGCAAAATAGGGAAATACATTTGGCTGTTTATCTTATCTCATCAAAGTAAGCATAAGAATTCTCAGCTTTGATATACAGTTTGTAACTAATTGATACAGCCATTTCTTTTTTTTCTCAAACATATCCTTTCCAATGGGAAACCAATCCATTGCAGACATTAAGCTAGTTAAGCCAATCAGTGGCTAAATCAGCATGTTCTCTACCAATCAAACTGAAGTACATTCAAGTAATTTTCCCCTAACAGAACATGAATTAATATTTGGAGAAAATGTTCACTATTTAAGAGCTAAACAGAAATCAGGACAGTTACTCCCTTTCAATACTCTAAGTGTGCATAAATTTCTGGCTCGCTTAAAGAATGCATTTCGAACAATTCTTAATGGTTGTGGTCAGAAATCTTAAAAGGAGAATAAATTATCCTTATATTTGAATTGATAACAAAAAGAACTTCGTTTGAGTTATAGGCTAAAATTACTGCTGCTGTTCGCCTTTATTGCTGATCGAGATAAGAGTTCCTTTCGTTTTCCACCTTTGATTTTATTTCCGAAGCAAAGGAAATTATGTAAGAGTCAAGGTCCATGCCTTATTACATGAATCACTTTCCCTCAGTGGTGCAGAACTATTTATTAGCAAATCACTTTACGGCAATTTGGTTCCCTTTTGAACTCCAAAATTTGAGATTAGTTTCGATCTGTAACTGAAAAAAAAGGCCTTCTATTTTACAACTTACTCCCTGCGTTGACTTCGCCTATCACGTTCTCTTTCGTTATCACGATCGTCTCGATTTCCTCTGTTTCGTGCAGGTGATCGCGATCTCGAACGATGTCTCCTCACAACGCTCGCCATTTTAAACTATATCGTCGCTTCATATAATTAACACAGAGTGTGATTCGAAGTTTGGAAAGATACTTCAAATAAGACTTCACAGAACTAATGTGTCAACGTAAGCCTTCTCAAGAGGAAGACGAGAAACGGGATAGAACGGTCAAATGGATTTTCAATAATCTTTCAGGCATGAATTTTCAATAGAAAACCTCTTGTGATGAAATCCTTTATCATTCTTGTGGAACTTTATTCACCTTACATACCTCCTCTATATACGTCATGGCTGAATGCCATGAAAACGAAAAATGGCAAAAAACATTCATATTATAGACTTCATGTATGGCTTACGACATGCCCTAGTTAGCCTTGTTTTACCACGAGAACCCACTTCTGCCCCGAATTAACCATGTTCTACCACATTAACATACATTTACCCTAATTTGGCCATGTTCTACCCCGTTAACCCACCTCTATCCTAAGTTACCCATGTTCTACCACGTTAACCCCAATCGACCCAAGGTTAGCCATGTTCTACCCCGTTAAGCCCCATCTACCATACTTTAGCCATGTTCTATCACATTAATCCCCATCTACCCTAAGTTAACCATGTTCTACCACGTTAACCCACATCTACCCCAAATTAGCCATGTTCTACCCCGATAGCCCCCACCTACGCTTATCTAGCCAAGTTCGACCTTATTAACCCCCATCTCCCTTAAGTTAACCATGTTTTACCACATTAACCCACATCTACCCTAAGTTAACCATGTTCTACCCCGTGAACCTACATCTACCCTTAGTGAACATGTTCTACCACGTTAACCCCGTGGTAGAACATGTTCTACCACGTTAACCCCAATCTACCCCAGGTTAGCCATGTTCTACCCTCTTAACCCCCATCTACTTTAAGTAAACCATTTTCTACCACGTTAACCCACATCTACCCTAAGTTAGCCATGTTCTACCACGTTGACCCACATCTACCCTAAGTTAGCCATGTTCTACCACGTTAACCCATATCTACCCTAAGTTAACCATGTTCTACCACGTTAATCCACATCTATCCTTAGTTAACCATGTTCTACCACGTTAATCCACATCTACCCTAAGTTAGCCATGTTCTACCACGTTAACCCACATCTACCCTAAGTTAGCCATGTTCTACCACGTTGACCCACATCTACCCTAAGTTAGCCATGTTCTACCACGTTGACCCACATCTACCCTAAGTTAGCCATGTTCTACCACGTTAACCCACATCTACCCTAAGTTAGCCATTTTCTACCACTTTGACCCCCATCTACCCTAAGTTAGCCATGTTTTACCATGTTAACCAACATCTACCCTAAGTTAACCATGTTCTACTGCATTAACCCACATCTACCCTAAGCTAGCCATGTTCTACCACGTTAACCCAGATCTACCTTAAGTTAACCATGTTCTACCACATTAACCCCCATCTACCCTAAGTTAGCCCTGTTCTTCCCTGTTAACCTCCCTCTACCTTAGGTTAACCATGTTCTATCACGTTAACCCCCATCTACCTTATGTTAGCCATGTTCTACCACGTTAACCCATATCTACCCCAAGTAAGCCATGTTCTACCCCGTGAACCCACATCTACCCTTAGTGAACCATGTTCTACCACGTTAACCCCAATCTACCCTAGGTTAGCCATGTTCTACCCTGTTAACCCCCATCTACCTTAAGTAAACCATGTTCTACCACGTTAACCCACATCTACCCTAAGTTAACTATGTTCGACCTTATTAACCCCCATTTTCCTTAAGTTAACCATGTTTTACCACATTAACCCACATCTACCCTAAGTTAGCCATGTTCTACCAAGTTAAATCACATCTACCTCAAGATAGCCATGTTCTTCTCCGTTAACCCCCATCCTGACCCTAAGTTAACCATGTTCCACCTCGTTAACCCACATCTACCCCAAGTTAGCTAATGTCTACCACGTTAACTCAAATCTAGCCTAAGTTAACCATGTTCTACCCCGTCAGCCCCCATCTACCCTTAGTTAGCCATGTTCTACCACGTTAACCCCCAGCTGCTCTAAGTTCATCATGTTCTACCATGTTAACCCCCATCTACCCCCAGTTAGCCGTGTTCTACCACGTTAACTCACATTTACCCTAAGTTAACCATGTTCTACTACTTTAACCTACATCTACCCTTAGTTAGCCATGTTTTACCACGTTAACCCCCAGTTGCTCTAAGTTCATCATGTTCTACCACGTTAACCCTCATCTACATTTAGTTAGCCATGTTCTACCGTGTTAACCGACATCTACCCATATCAGCCCGAAGATTCTTCAACGCACAGCGCTTCGTGCGTTTCTCTAAGTTGTGTCCCATTGAGGACAATTTTCATAGCTATTAGTGGACCGTTTGTTTACCTCTGGGTTGCCTTAGCGAGGATAATATCCCGTTGAGAAAGGCACACGTGAAAAATTTTAAGTATGAGGATGAATTATAATTTTTCATCCAGCTACCAAACAAAACCACCCTTAAGGAGATCGATGCAAGAGATACTGTCACAAGCGAAAATCCTCCGCCTGATTTGCCGAAAGAGGAGGAAGTGGCCAACGATGTGATCCAAGTTGACGTGAGGTACTCCCAATCAATTCCGTTAAAGAAGCTTCATGAAATCATCGTTATTCCTACTGCTGATCTGATCGAAGACAACGGGCTAACATTTGTTCCTGAGGAACCATTTTGCCTTGTACCTTATGCAACATTGCAGAGCTCGAACTCATCATATCTAAGTGATTCTTACAGAATTTTTGTGCTTCCCTCTCTGACGACGTTACAACTAATTCATGATTGCCCACTTTCACACGAAGACTGATACATTGCTTGTTCGCGACCCTTGTTTCAAAGATATTATCTATCAAGGAAGATGTCTGGTGCAACTTCCAGGAGCGAGGAAAGAAGTGGAGATGATCGGACGTATCCTCAATGTTTTCCCCCTCACTGGAGAAGTGGCAACAAACATGAAGTGATAAAACGAATATCATCAGTAGTATTAGTTCACATTGCAGCGCACGGTAAAATGGAGACTGGAGAAGTTATCTTGGCACCAAACACTACAAGAGAAAACCCTCAGCCGCAAGAGAAGGACTATCTACTGACGATGAAAGATGTCATAGAAGGGTTGCAGGCACGACTGGTTGTACTAAGCTACTGTCACACTGCTCGTGGGGAGATCAGGGACGAGGGTGTGGTCGGCATGGCGCGTGCACTTCTGGGTGCCGGTGCTAGATCTGTTGTGGTAACCTTATGGGCGATTGGCGACAAGGGAACCCTAGAGTTCATGTGTTTCTTCTACAATGCACTTGCTAATGGCAACAAGGCAAATGAAACTCTCAATCAGGCCATGAAGTGTATGAGAAAAATTGAAAAGTTTAAGGAGGTGAAGTACTGGGCACCATTTGTTCTCATTGGTGATGACGTCAACCTGGATTTCAAGGATATTTAGAAGCTGGAGCAAGTAAATATTCTGTTTATAAATTCGATTCGATACAAAGTTACACTAAATCATAATTATGGCTCATATGTGGGCACTGATACTTGTGTGTCATTTTCCTTTCAGTTTGGTTACGAATTTATTTTTTTCTCCGGAAAATTGAGCTGTAACAGAATCAAATAGACTAATTTACGATGATAACATTTTTTTTTAGGAAACATCATGGAGTAAAAAAGAAAATCTATTTTAAAACAATCCTGTTGCGCAATGTATCGTTTCATGTGTTAGAAAAAAGTACATGGCAACTCAACTATTCTCCCTAAAATTCGATTCTTTTACTTTTTAGTTAAGGAGTGAGCATTGGAATCCCAGGGACTTTTCTGATACCTACAAACGCTGATATTTGGAGCAGAAACCAGTAAACTACAGATGAAATCTTTGTCAAAAGTCTTCTTTTCAAAGCAGGAAGAACCAAAAGACAGCGAAAGTCAAGTTTAACAAGAGAAAGGATTTCCTTTGATTCAAAAGTTGACTATTTTCTTGTCTGAACTGCTCTTACGAGCTTGATCTTTGATATCCTGCTCAAACTACTACAGCATTCAAAGAAGCTCAGAAGGAGCTAGAAAGTTGGAACCACATGATTTTATTTAGTCACTCCAGTTAGATTGTTTATCTATTGTCTAAGTAGAGTAAACAAACATTTGAATGTCAAACAAAGAAACAAGTCGCTTGGCATTTTGTTGGAATGGAAGAGGAAATCAATAACAAAGGGAAGAAAATTTCTGCATCAACCTGCATATGCCATTTCTTGTTGTTTGAAGTAGTGAGGACACCTAAGTCTTATTCGCTTAATAACATGATTAGGTTACTTACTTGATTAGGTTTATTGAATGAGAAATAAACTTCGATATTTTCTGACTATATAACTGCTGGTATCGATCATTAGCGGTCTTCCCTTAGGGTGTCACGCGACGCTCTTTAGCACGTTATGCGACAGAGGATGTTTTGTCACATCTTGTGATTTGAAGTAGTGAACGCACCTATCTCTGATTCGCTCAACTTTTGCCCATTTGCTTGGATAGAGTTATTAAAGGAGATATAAACCTCGATATTTTCAGATTTTATAACTGCTAGTTTCATTGACAGCCGTTCCTTAGGTGTCATGCGACGCGCTTCTTTTGCGCGTCATGCGACAGATATGATGTTTTGTCTTATAACGTTGAAGAGGTAAGAAAAAAGAAATTACCTTTCACTTTGGGAGATGGTGCTTTAATCTGTATAGAAAGCGTCCTCAGCTTGGGAGGTATTGAGTGTAGAAAATATTGATGTAATATTTTTCCACGATTGCTTACCATCTAAACTTAACTAGAACAGCCTATGGCAAAAAACAAAAAACAAAAAACAAAAAAAAAACTGGAAATTTTCTTAAAACTGAGGAGAGACGACCTGGAAGAACCTTTTACGGCTAATGGTTAAAATTATAGCCATTGTTCTGCAACAGTTAACCCAGAATAACATAAAAAAAACATATTTTAGGAAGGAAAGATTTTGAAAGTCAATTTTTCTACAACTAGGGGTTAACATTTGTCAATTTTCTACGCCTAACAGCTAATTTTTTGGCTGATTTACGGCCAAAAACAAAAAAAAAACTGGAAATTTTCTTAAAACTGAGGAGAGACGACCTGGAAGAACCTTTTACGGCTAATGGTTAAAATTATAGCCATTGTTCTGCGACAGTTAACCCAGAATGACATAAAAAAAAACATATTTTAGGAAGGAAAGATTTTGAAAGTCAATTTTTCTACAACTAGGGGTTAACATTTGTCAATTTTCTACGCCTAACAGCTAATTTTTTGGCTGATTTACGGCTAACGGTTGACCCTTTTATGACTGTCGACTAAGCGACTTGTGCTGGTTTTTTGAGGGGTAAGGAAGACGGGGAAAAACAAGCCGTTGAAAAATGCTGGAAGTAAGGATCAAACTGGGAGAGACGGGCTTGGGGAGAGCGTTGTATTAGCTATATAGCATGTAATACAATCATTTTCAGAAAAGAGTTATAGGAAGGGGGGAAGGGTGGGTCGAGTTTCCGTTCATCCCCCCAGGTCTAGGTTGGGAATGTAAACAGCTACGTGGTTTCATGGGTAGTATCACAGGACGGATTCTCAAAAATCTTAGAGCTACGATTTCAGAAGGTAAAGATAACAATTTCCCTGAGTAACTGCTGGACTTAGGCTTCTTTCATCTTCTTAGATTTACTCTTCGTGCTTTATAACTCTACTCCATCTACTCACCTTATAGCGGTATTTGTGTGGCTTACACAATTCGTGCAGCCACATTATGGCACGATCGGATTTATTTATTTATTTGTCCACGAGAGTCGACGCCTGTCACGTGGTCGTAGTATCGTACGACGCACTAATCTGAGTTTGCCATCTTGATAGTAAGCGTGGTCTCGAGTAATTTTTCTCAGGTGATCGTATCACGAGTTAGTTCTCTTCACACAAGCCAACACATTCACACCCATCTTGTGTAAGAGCTTCTACGTTCTTAAAAGACAATATTTAACTGCTTGAATCTTCGGTGCGGGTTGTGCCACTTTGAAAGGAGTTATTGCACTCTCACAAGCCAACAACTATCGGCTTGATTTATCGGTGCGGGTTGCACCACTGAGTGTCTGAAAGTGTTTTAAAGTGTCTGAAGCCACCTTTAAGAGCCAGAAAGTGAAATAAGTTGTATTGCAGTTGCTTTCTCCTTGAACTGTTGAGAATTCACGAAGGCATATCTCAAAACGTAAAAAGTAAGTAGAGGAATCTCAATTGAACAATACCGGTCAAGTATTCGCTCTCATGACAATTTCGTGAAAACTAAGGATATTTTATCACGTTTTAATGATTATTGTTGGAGTTTAATGTTTGTGATGTTCTATTTAAATGTATTTTACTTGCCAGTATTGAAACAAGTTGTTGGACAACACAAAATGTGGAACGATGTGATGTTTTGGTTTTCACAAATGATTTTCTACAATGCCTATATTCCATTGCTTATAAGGCAGGCAAATGATGTAGAGGAAAATCCAGGCCCTACAATATTTGATGTCATCGATCCAACAAGAACAATATGTGCTGACCACAGTGAAGGAAATGAAGCTCTCTTTGGTGAAAATGCTGGTAAGCAAATTGTCACTTACTGCTATTATTTATCATCACATAGAAAAATATCAATTTGTGGACTCCTTCCAGTTTAAATAATATTCTTACCATTAGAAATAATTTGTATACTTCTATAAGATGTTCTGTCCAGACAAATGATTATTTGCTTTTAACTGATGTTCCGTGCATTGTTTCAATTTACAATTAAATGTATACACACTAGAATATAGTGAGTCATTAACAGGAAGTTTGTTCATGACATCAAATAATGGGCCATACATGTATCTTCAAAATTCTCTGACAGAAGTGTTTTTAAATTGTCAACTTAACTACAGTTGTTGTTTGTTAATGATTGGAATTAATACTGTTGCAGTGATTAAGAATTCAGAACAAAGCTTTAAAATTTTTGATGCTCATTCCAGGGATTTGCATGGGATGCCCCACTCATTTGGGAAATGTACTTTGCTTACCACTGAAGGAATTAAAAACCTTGTATCATGTTTGAACATTTCCTGCCTACAAATAGGGTTTGTTCCTTTTGAAATTAAAGGTGTCTTTGTCAGAGATATTGAACTTGATTTCCAAAATGTTCACGATAGTTCAAAAATCGAACATTTGCCTTTCAGAAATAAAAGAAACCAAACACAACATATGAAAAGGAAGCAAAAATCTTTAACTGAAACGCCAGAAGAAAAAGAAAAAGAAAAACGATTGATTGCTAGACATGAATATGAGAAACAAAGAAGGGTAAATGAAAGTGAGGAATCTAGGGACAAGAGGCTGGCCCAGCAGCCTCTGACCAGGGAAAACAAACATGCAAATGAATCTTCTGAATCAAGAAAAAAGAGGTTGGCAACCCAATCTCAGTATCAAAGACAAAAAATTACAAATGAATCAGCAGAATGTAGAGAGAAGAGACTGTTAAATCAATGTCAATATCAGAATGAAACTAGACACATAATTGTGTTCACCCAGGCTTTCTGTTGGAAATAAACTTTGTTTTTTGTGCTTGCATTTGCCTAAGTTTTTATGCAATTATTGGTTTATCCTGTAACTGTTTTTGTGTGGTTTACACAAAGTGTAAACCATGCTATGTCATGATCCAAGATACTTATTCCTCACTGGATTTATCATGGTGAACAGAGCACTTGTCATGTGGTTTACTATCGTTGAAGATGGGTTCTAGTCTATATTGGGCTAAGTTACCTAAGCTTCAAAGCTTCAGAAAGCGACCATTTTGCAATGGTGGGTGTAACACGCTGTCAAAGATCATTTTTTTATCTAGTTTTTCATTCATCTTTTTTGCTTAGATTTCACACACCGGCTTTCCCTACAGTCGGCTTGTCTTCTAAGTGCAGATTACAGTGTGGAGTTGTGCTCTCACTGGCCAACATTTCATGGTCAGGACCTTTAGTGCAGGTCGCGCCACATTGAAACTTAGGAGTCATTATTGACTCTCTGTGTGGTCACATTTCATGTAAGTCATTTACCAGAACATTTTTTATCCTGAATTTCTGTTTATATCACATGCTCAGTAAGAAAATTACTTAACCAGTCTTTTTAGTACATGCTAAGATAAAATTTTGGTTAAACTGCAGAATACCTTGACACCCATGGCATAACATGTCATTGAATATGAATAGAATAAACCATTTATAGCCAGTAGTGGAAATAGGACTTCTTTGTTGCCATTAGAAAATCAAGCACTGCTGTTGCCTGGAAATTCAATTTGACGGCCTCTTATATTATATTATTAAATTATACTTTCATGTTTACATAGCTAAACCAATAAAAGTCACAAACATCTAACACTTAACCTGAAACTGCGGTTTGTTGTTGGTTTGTTTCCAAACTTTGGGGAGTAATCTATTGAAACTCAGTAAGAAAGTGGTTTTGCTTTTATTAAAATATGAATAGGAGCCTAGTGCTTTAATGTTAATTGAAATGTGATTAATATTATGTTTTCCAAGTTATGGCCAGAATTATTCAGACCTTAGCATTTCATGACTTCCTTCAAGCTTGGCAGTCTTCTATATTCTCTTCATAATGGTTCAGATAAGCATTGGTATCTATACTTGGTAGTAGGCCTTTATTTGGTAGACTACAACTCCTTTTCAGTTACTTGTTTGGTTTGTTGAGTTTATCACAATACTAATATACATGAAAAATTACACTTTTTTGATTGGCTGAAAATAGTTAGGTGCCTTTTTCATTTATCATAAGTGAAAAAGTAACAACTCATGTACAAAATAATATAAACTAGGCTCAGTGACAATAGATCACATTAGAAACCAATCAGATTTACACAAAGTAGGTTGTTCTGATTGATACATGCAGTAGCTGACAAAAATAAACAAAAGCTTGGATACTTTTATGTATATTGATAAACTCTAATCAATACTGTCAAATTTATCTGCCATCAGTTTGTTGATTTCCTGTGAATGTGTATCTTTCATGTATACGTTATGAATAATTAATAACATGATTTCTCATATGATAAGTAACTGTAAATTTTTCAAATACTTTAAGCTGCACACACACTATGAGCTCAACATTTGTTGTTTGTGAAAAATTTTTTTCTGCTTATTTAGATTACTAAAGTACACTTTAATTAACTTAGCTTAGACTATGTTGAGTTTTTATAAAGACAGTTCAATGGAACTGACATTTGTTACGTTTATAGTTAAAAGTTAGAGCTACTTGATGTGGATTAGATAACCATCAGGTATCCTTGGAGACCCAGGAGTACTTAACTCAACATATGATTTATTAAAATATTGCTTGTGTTCTGATCTTGTAATGCACCTATCTTTTTTCCCTAGACTCTTCCATTTGCAACCTCATATCTACCTACCTGAACTAAATTTTTCTGTGTTCTTTATTGAAAATACAGTCCCACAAAACCTAAATACAATAATTATAGTAAACATTTCGCTCTCAATCAACTGAAAGTTGAACTTTATGCCCTAATGGACAAAAGAAATCAGCATTGTGTTACTTTACATGTATGTATTGTCCAAAATTAGTCATACATTCAAACCAAATCAAGCTCCCAATGGCTTCTAGTGTAGATTACATCATTTCTCGAATGTCCCTGCCCTTCTCCAAAGTTTTGTCCTTGTGTACTGGTACACAAAATGTCAAAAATATTCATATGAAATTCTTCCTTAGAGTTCATTTCACATCACTTGCCTTGGAAAAGACAATCAACCTACAAACTTCAGATGTCAGTTCCACTTGGTTACGTAAACATAATCATGACTGAATCTATCAGACCACTATGGGAGATTATGCTGATGTTTTTTCAGTTTCTTAAATCCTCGGGTTACATGTGCAACCTTTGTTGTCAAAATGAGACCTCCATAGCAAAGTTTGGCCAGTAACTCTCATTTTCAGAATGAACGTTTCGGGACTTTTGTATGCTAGTTATCTTGTGTTATTGATGAACAGGATCAATATTGAAAACTATCTAATGGTAATCAGATATTAGCTCTTCTAATAGAAACCCAATGAGACACCAGACACTAAAAAGCAACTCAATTTCGTAAGCCACACATGTACGCATTGCGGACCTATGATTGACAAATTCAGAATTACTTGTCGAACCTGTATTAAGCGGTCAAATTCTCGAAATTTTTCCTCTTATGTATTGTCTCTGTTAAGCGGTTGTGGTCATCCTTGACTGAGTCCCATCTGCCTGTTCGGGTTGTATAGAATGGTCACTTAGGGCGGAACCACTCGAATAAACCAACGAATTCTCTTTGAAGTAAAAATTTATTCCATGTTTTTCTCCCAAAATCAATGTCAGTATTTAGAGTTCGAATATCCTCAACGCGTTGCAGATTATCTTCCCTCTTAAGACTGTATCTAACAAATATTACGCAAGAAAATTACGCAAATCATCTACTGGTTAATTACTAAGAGGTCTGAGTGTTAGAATTCTGATTTATTGTTCTGTTTTTACGCTGCATCATCATTTTGTTGATGTTGTCCGATACATTTTTGAGCGATTTTTTAAATAAGCTCCGCATTAAAATAAATAATAAATTAGTGTTAAATGTGGTTTTGTTCTCTTTTGTTGTTCACCTGTATTAAACGGTGATAACACTCAGTCATAACGCTCAGTCATGACGCACAGTAGGGAGTTTAAGATACGGTCACTACGGACTACGGACTACGGTCTACGGTAATACACGGCGAGGACCTGGTTCGAGATTTACTGCGCATGCTCGATAGCACGTGGGTTTCGCAGTCCGTCGTGTAATTGCAGGCTACGGGGAGTAGTCGAGGAGATTCGCGTAGTGAGGACTACGTAAGTATTTTTTTGCCGATTTTTGACCAGTCTTGTTTTTTCTTAACGCTACTTTTATGTTGAACAGTCTTTAGGCAGAACTCATTGCTGAATTAAATGCTTCCATATCGGCTGTAAATACTGGAACCTCCCCTATTCGGTAAGGGGCCATTAAATGAGGACGAGGAGGGTAAGCTGGGTCTCCATAGAGACATAGGACGTCCCCCCTTGGATTGTAAGCTTCTCTTTCCAGCGTTTGCAGCAGGCCAGAGTCTTTAAGCATCCCTGCATCGTGGCGTGCACCCTCCACCGGACCATAAAGATTTGCTATCAAACCATTTGGCACTACTACGGATTGAAATTTTAGCGCATGAACACGCTTGTGCCCGTTGTATACAACGCGCTGTTTTTCTCCAGGGCGACATATGGGGTGAACCGTGCCGTCAATGAAACCAAAACAATTGGTAAGTGGAATTCCTTGTCTTGCTATAGCACAGGCGTATTCTTGAAGGCAAGCAGGGGTAAGAAATGGCTGATTCCAAGAGGTTAAACGAAACCCATGTTCATTAAAAACCCAATCAAGTACAGTGTTAGCGATCATGCACAGCTCTGGCACCGGACGTCCAAAAATTGAAATTAAATCGAAATAGCGGCATGGGTATGCTAGTCGTTTTAGCAGTAAACAAAGTCCTTCTAAGCCACTGCAAACTGTTCCCTGTGGGCACTTGAAACTCGCCGGAATCCGCAATGCGTTCAATAACATCGGAATATCATCCTTGGCCACCCTGAAGTGAGCTTCGCACTCGCAAGAGTCGAACACATCCAAACAGAATGGATCAGAATTCCAGTACGGAAATGAAGGATTAACGGGTTGGTAATAATCGTAAAGAACAATAATCTCTTCATCATCCAGAAAACCATCCGCATAAGCGATTAAAAGGGCGTTTCTAGCATCTTCGAAGGACATTTTTTTCTCCAAGTGCCCCGTAGTCCGTAGTCGTTGTTACGATCTTAACGTCAAACAACACTCCAATTTTCGCGCCCTTTTAGCGTAGTCGGCCCAGTCCACGCGTGGCTTGGATTCTCACGCCCAGACGTAGTCCGTAGTCCGTAGTGACCGTATCTTAAACTCCCTATTCATGACGCTCAGTCATGACACTCAGTCATGACGCTCAGTCATGACGCTCAGTCATGACCCTCAGTCGTGACACTCAGTCATGACACTCAGTCATAACACTCAGTCACGGGTTAAACACAGTTGCTCGATTGAACTGTCTTGGTGAATTTATGATAGAATGAAATGGTTAACCATAAGCTAAGAAAAAGAGACGAGTTCCTTGATGTCAATACCATCTAGCCCTCTGGAGTGTACGCCGGGATTTTCGCAAGTTCTCACCGAGATTCGCACGGGACACCTGTTGGGATCTCTCTCGGGATGCCGGTCAGTAAATTTCTACCAGGGTGCCAGCGGGATATTGGCCGGGATCCCCGCCCGGATAAAAACGAGCAAACAAAATTGAATGAAATCTGGTTTCGCCGGTAGTTCCACGAATCCAATATTTCACTTCCGCTTGATTTTTTTTCCGAGAAAGATCAGAGGTCTTCATGATGTTGGAACTCGCTAACTGTACCAAGCTGTCAAACAAGGGAGGCTAAAATTGAAACACGCTCAGTTTTCATGGATTGATTCGAAAATGGCAGATAGTTCAGCGAAAAACATTTTGCGGGAGTAATTACAGTGCTGTCAATATTTTCATGAAAGCGCTTTAGAGCCGTGCAAGCCCGCTCTGAGCTCTTCTTATCTGAAAAGTCTTTCTTGTAGCCTGCAAGGCAAGAATCCAATTTTTTTGTTGCTGGAATTTTTTTAGTCCATGTTTGAATCAAGACTTGTATCGAAATATGAATGATTCGCACGTGTGAAAGAAATAGTTCCGATATTTGCCTTCGCCTAAACACTTGCGGGGTAAATGCTCACAACTGTCTGCCAACTACGTATTCTCTCTCGCCGCTGGTTCTTTGCTCCTCAATTCCAAACTCATACCTCCCTTCCCAAATCTTTCGCCTAATTACGGACCTTATTAATTCACAACATTTTTTTGTCTCGTGCAACGTTTTACTTTTTTTACTTCATAGCTTTTTAAATGCTCTGTAATAACAGAGAATAATAATGATGATAATAATGATAATAATAACAACAATAAGAATGATAAAAACCCGCTTAAAACACCAAGGCAAACCGCAATATTTATTATTATTCTACTGTCTTTTTTTCTTCCTAGCTATTTACTTGGCTTTTAGCCCAACGTAAAGTGCTTGCTCTATTTTGGATATATTAATTTCCAATACTTGAAGAAAAAATCAAATACAAACGTACCAAAAAAATTAAGTAATATTTAGAATTCATTATCGTTCACAGAGAAATAGATTTACAAAAGAGCCATCTTCAGTTGCAAATGCTACAATTTGCCTTTCCATGCTTTCCAGATAACGTAATTCTCATTTCCGAAGCCAGCAATAAAAATCTACATTTTTTAATCTTAATACGCACTTTGTGCGGTTCCTCTCTCACTCCTCCATCACAATCTACGCGCTTAATAGACTTAAAGCTTAGCCCAGAATTTAAGGCGGCACTATTAAGGGAGTAATATTTTGACTCAACAAAAGTTAAAAACCAAAAACAACGAAACAACGAAACAAACACAAAAAATGCAACAACAACACTCAAATACAGACTGAATCATACTGTAGTAACTAATGAGGGAACCCCCTGCATTTTGTGATCTTTACCCAAACTATAGCAGATCTCCGACAAAGTGAACCAGATAGAGTGGAGTTTACATTTGAACGTCAACGTTGACGCATCCATGAGTCACAACAGACGCTGTGATATGGCGGCCTTGGCGGCGGGACTTGACAAGAGATGGGTTGCGTAAGAGAGTCACGGCCAGGAACCAGCGGTTGGCAGCCTTTTTAGACATGCGCGGCCGACGGGACTCCCGACTAAAGCCTAAAAGACAAGAGAGAGGAACGGCAATATAAGCTGCGTTTGAGAGGTTTGGACGAGATCTGGAGGGACTTCGTCGGTATTTCAAGTTAATAACCCTTCAAAAAATTAGTTCATGACAACAAAGGAATAATAGCAATAAAGAAAATAGGCCAAAAGAAAGAAATTTCTTTCGTGCTTTGAATAAGAAGGGAGACAAAATGTCTTTTTTTCGTTCACTATTTTTTTGGAATGGCAACGAAAAGTCCTTTAAAGCAAATATTACAAACCTTCAGAACGTCCTACCTCGATGCCAAACCTACAATATACAGGTTCTGTCGGAGATCCGGCGGCAAAATAGATGCCTTACATACATACATTCTTTATTTGATAAGTAGGTTGTGTGAAAGGCAGCCAAAGGGCTGATGTGGACCTACTATACTAAATATTAAGAATTACATATATATAAAAATTGCAATAATAACTTAGAACTACTATATACAAATAAAATGGTGTTCACTAAGACTAACATATAAATCTAAAAGTAAATGAAATGGTCCTTTCTGTTGGCAACTACTGTTGCCTCTTTCTCAAATGAAAAATTGTCAATAGTCTTAACATGTTTACGTAAAATTTGTTTAAAAGAATAAAAACTTTCAGGTACTTTAACTAATCTATTTACAAAATTCCAAATAACAGGACCTCTGTATCGTAGGGAGTTCCTGCCGGTCTCTGATCTAAATCTAATGACATTAAATTGGTTAGGAACACGAGAAGATCTAGAAGAAACTCTTTTAGAAAACAGTTCACATATCGACTGGGTCGTTGTTCCAAAATATACTTTGTGCAAGAGAAACAGTACAGATTTTTTATAGAAGTAAGAGATGGGCAGCCAGTCGGATTTCATGAGACATGTGTCATCTGCCATCGTTGAGTCGAGGTTATTCACAATACGAGCTGCTCTTGCATGAATATGGTTTAGAGAGTTCAGTGCGGAAGGAGAACAATTTCCCCATACCGAAATTCCATACGTTACACTGGGGATAATTGTTTTAAAGTATATTTCCTCGAGAACCTTCTTCGGAAGGATTCTCATTCTCTTCAACGCTCCAACCTTCTGCGTAAAAGATTTCTTCACTGAGTCAATGTGCACAGACCATGTCAGCTTATTGTCAATTTTAACTCCAAGACAAGTGGTGTAATTAACCAGGTCGATATGGCCAGTGTTAAAGTGGAGGGGAGGTATAGGCCCAACAAAAGAGGTTTTACTTAGTATCATTGCTTCAGTTTTAATTGGGTGGATGGTTAGCTGATTCTTAATGCTCCACAGGAGAACTTGCTCCAATGATTTATTTAGTGACAACATAACCTGGTCAACATTTGGTCCAATACAGTAAACTGTAGTGTCATCTGCATACATGTATAGATCTCCCGAGTCGATGTGGTCAGGGAGATCATTAACATATATGGTGTAGAGCCGGGGGCCAAGAAGCGAGCCTTGAGGGACTCCATATCGCACATAGTCAGTGACCGACCTGCAATTATTAACTTCAGCAAATTGACATCTATCAGTAAGATAGCTCATTAGCCATTCATGAAGAGATCCTGATATTCCAATGGCGTGTAGTTTATGCGATAAAATATAATGGGGGACAGTGTCAAAAGCTTTCTGGAAGTCAATAAAGACTGCTCCAACTGTCAGACCATTGTCAATTGCTGTCTTCCATCCTTCAGTCATAGAGGTAAGCATTCCTTCAGTCGATAGTCCCTTGCTAAACCCCCACTGTTTACAGCTTTTTATGCCACAGCTGTTCAGATGGGTATCAATTATGTTGCAGATCTGGCTTTCGAGCAGCTTGCTGGGGATACTTAAAAGTGATATTGGCCTATAATTTGAAACATCTGCTGGGTTTCCTTTTTTAAAGATTGCATTAACTTTTGCAATCTTCCATGTGTTAGGGAAGCTGGACTGAGCCATGCTGCTCTTGAAAACAGTTACAATGCCCTCTAGGGCGGATGTTCCTGCAATAGCTAAGCTACGAGAAGAGATGCCATCAGGACCAGATGCTTTGTTAATTTTAATTGTCTTGATATCAGTTTTGAGTTTGTTGATGTTGACCTCCAAGACCTGCACAGTGGGGGTAACTCTGTACATGAATTGATGGGGTTCATCAGCTTCGGGGAATTTTTCAGCTAGTTCCTTGCCAATATTTATGAAGTAAGAGTTAATCAGTTCAGCTTTCTCGTAGTCATTTGTGATTTCCTTATTTTCAGCATCTCTGAGGGGGCCAATATGTTTATTCTTAGGTTTTCCAGTGGCCTCGTTCACAGTTTTCCAGAAAGATTTTGAGTCCTTGGTCTCTGTAAATTTCTTTTTCCAATATTGAGCTTCAGCACGTCGTAGCATCTTAGATACTTTGTTCCTAGAGGATTTGTAATCAACCCAGAGTTTATTAGTAGCGGGTGTGCCATCACAGGCTTTCAGAAGTTTATATCTCTTATTCATCTCTTTCCGGATCTCACTGTTCATCCAAGGTAGTGAATTTTTTCTAACCTTGGCTTTACGTAAGGGAATGTGACTGCTTGCAATAACATTATACATGCAATTCCAAGCCCAAGTGATGTCATCCAAGTCCTCAAAGGTGGAACAGACCCACCAGGGAGCACTTTCCAGGTCATGTTTGAAGTCTTTCGGGTTTTCCAACACGTTCTTGAAGTTGTGGACATATTTAATAAAAGGCTTTGGATTCCTGATCTTCAGCTTGTAGATAACGTAGATGAATTTGTGATCAGCTATGCAATACTCAATCACATCAGACTTTGAGACCTTTGAGGTATTGATAGTCAAAATCAGATCGATCAAAGTGTTAGAATGTGCTGAGGTTCTTGTGGGTGCTTTTATGATGTTACAAAAGTTATAAGATTGTAAGATGCGTTTGAATTTCGCACCATTTCCATTAGTAGCAAGCTGATCTGAATTGAAGTCACCAGCGATCACAACATTCCTGCGAGACATCCAAATTGTACTCAATACTTGGTTGAATTCATCAAAGAAAGATGTAACGTCAGGAGGTCTATATACACAACCCACAAGTAATCTTTGCGAGTGAGCTTTCAATTCAATCCAGAGAGCTTCAATGCCGTCGTTGTCATATTTGGATATACGTACACAATCTAGGCTAATGTTAAAGTAAATAGCGACTCCGCCTCCTACTTTGTGTGACCTATCTCTTCTCAGAATTCGGTATCCATCGATGTTTACTTCGTTATCGCTTATATCTTGTGTCAGATGCGTTTCAGAAATGGTTAGGATATCCAGGTTGGTATGCTGTAAAAGTATTTTCACTTCGGGGAGGTTCTTACGGAGGCCTCGCACGTTCGAGTGACCGATGGATACTCCTTGCTTTCCATTGTCTCTCACCACGTGAAGTGCATCAAACAGAGGGGAAGCAGGCCCCGGGTTAGGACATATGTCGCCACATAGTTGTAAATATTCAAAGTTGAAGCTTGCATCGGAGTTGCTGTAGTAGTTGACTCTCGAATTCCTGAATCTGACTCGAGCTTTCCACACGAATCCAATATGGCGGATATTGAGTCGAAACAAAATGGATGATATCGGTTTCAAAAACCAATGATTATCCCAGCTTTGCTTGTTTACTTTGACGAGGCGCATATCTAATCCGATGTGTGCATCTTTGCCACTTGAACATGCCAATATGTACAGAGAAAAGCCAAAAAGAAACCAAAGTATAGGCGAACTAAAAATTTTGCTTCTTCCCGCCATGATGACCGCTGACCCTTACCCTTACCTTAAAACACGGTACTTGAAAACTAATTTTAATGCTTAAGCACTTCAGACTCAAGGTGAAAAAAAGGTTACACATGTAGGGATGTTTCTTTTTCTCCTCATGAAAGACTTAAAACTGTTCTATATCACCCAGAATGCAATCATTTTCTAAAGGTCGGCTTGAAAAGTAACTGTCGGCGAGATACTTTTTAGTTGATCAAAAAACTGTGCAAAGGGGCAAAGAAGAAAGGCTAGCTTTCAGTATTCCCGTGTGACCACACAATGAATATAAAAAGAATAGTAACCGACTGAACATAGCTCGCATCGTAAGTTTCTTCTCATAATGCCCATTTTTTATCAAATCTGACTTGGGGAATGGGGTACGCTTTCTGTCAAATTTTCCACGATTTCACATTACTAACAACGCTTAAGAAAAGAAAATTATGTAATTCTTGCCCTCCGTGAAAAGATTATATCTAGTGTTCTGATTGGTTGCTAATTGCCAGTGCACAAACCGCGCTGTGTTTTGATCTTATTAGGGAAACAAACGTGCCAATTGTCTCTGAGCCCCAGTTTCCCATTCGTCCGATGTCCGCCCATGCGTGCGTACGCTCATCTGTCCGTTTATCAATCAAGCAAATCAGAATCCTAGGAATGCATTATCCCAGCCGAGTCGTGATTCTGGAGACAGTTTACTTACGCTTTTGCAAGGGCTGGTAATATTTTTGTCTGTCAATAAGCAACTGACAGAACACCAGCATCACGGGATGTCTGTGGGCAACCAGCACAGTCACAAAACCAAGGTATGCGACAAAAGCTAGAAAGAAAATTAAGAAACTGTAAAGTGAAAGTCAAAGGTTGTCCAGCATCCCACAGGTTTTGCTTTAGTTAGCAAAATGCAAACTATATAAATCCTGTGCAATCCTCTCGACCAATCAGACATGAAGCTAATACGAATCAGTATAAAGCCACTACCGTTTCCTGCGTTCTGGGCGATTTATTTTGATCTTGCTCGACCTTCCTTGCGTCACTGAAGTCTTATCGACATTAATTAATTGGTTAAAAGCTGTTTTAAGAAATAGTGAGCATCTTGGCAGCAGAATAGGTCTGTATGTTGTATATCTCCCTTCACAAAGCCTCTACTACTAATAAATTGCTTGTACTGGATGCCTGCTACGTACCTTTGTCCCAAGCCTGGAAACCCTGCATCAGTGATGAACGGTCAATACGAGAGATGAATATCACTCCTAAAAGTATGCCGTTTAGAATTCTCATGAAAGCAGAGAAAATTCCAAGAATTATGTTGTAGAAGAAGAAAAAGTACGACATGATAGAGAATAGCCGCCTGAAAGAGAGAGAAAGAGACCAAAAATAAAATGTACACGACATGGGCTGAGTATTTTAAGCTTAGTGACCCATTAGCAAGATGTGAATATAAGAGAATTACTAATTAACCTGGAAGAAACCAGTACAACACACAACAAACCGACAACAACAACTACAGCAACAAGAGCAACCATCACAGCAACGAAGACAACAACAACACTCACCACCACTACAACAACATCAACAACAACAATAAACATACAGACAGTGATAACAATGTAGATATATGCCAAATATCTTTTTATCAGAGACGTCTCTGTCAGCGAGTTTTTGCGTCGACGTTCAATTAAGCTACCGTAGGTTTGTATCGAACTTTCTCTCGGCAAGGCGTGAAATGATCACTAAACATGCAATAGCATATGAAATTTACCATCAACACAATGATAAAATTTGCTACGCCATTGGTCATTAGCAGCCCAATTTATAATGGTAAAAGAACTTAGCGGAGTCCAATTCGGTCTGTAATCATACGAGTGATCGAGAAAATTTGAGAAAGTAACTAGACATCGGTTGTACGTTTTTACTAAAAAAAACTCTATCATGCCCTGTCCACTTACACAGGCATGACATGTTAACTGTCCCTTATCTTTCCTTTTACACTGTCCAATTACAAGCATGACGCGTACACTGTCCTATTGGTGCTCAAATCGGGCTGGTCATAACCGATCACGTTCGAGAATTTTGCTTTACTACTGAGTTTTGATCAGTGCACTAATGGGACAGTGTACAGTTCACGTTGTGCTTGTAACTGGCCATTTATCGCAACATGCCTGTGTGATTATACGCGTCATATGCATGCTGTTATAATTTTGTCAATCACTTGATTAATTACGAACCGAATTGGACTGCACTCTGTTAGGTCTAGTACTACTCATAAATGTCTACATGTATTTGTCATGAGTAGATCAGTTGTTCAGGGCGTGCTTATCACACAACAAGAAATTCAGCTCAGACTGATGTACAACAATACCTGTTATCAATTGTGACAGTGATGTTTGGATAAGTCGAGTCACGAAAGACGAAATGTGTTAGAAACAACCGGAACAACATCAGAAAAATAGCTGAGGCCAAAATGGCTCTGTAAAAAAAACATTCCATGAGTACTAGATTGCGTCTTTCGAAAAGCCTTG